CATCAGCGCATGTCACTTGCGGAATCTAAATATAACAAGAAACGATTCCACGGATTGACTTTACCGTATACCAGTGGACATTGATATCTACCTTCACATTCTTGTCCAAAATGCATGTTCCTGGGCAGTCTTCCTCATCAGCGCCATCGCTACAGTCCACGATTCCATCGCAGACCCTGGAACGCTCTAGGCACGTGCCGTCAGCACATAGCGCTTTTCCTGATCCCGAACATGAACGGCAATCACATTCCTTGAAAGACGGAAGCAATTGACGAAGCAGGTCCATTACTGCAGATATCCTACCTTCTCGTCTGATCCATCAGGGCACTGTGGTATACCATCACATATCTGTCCTGCCGGTATGCAGCGTTTTGTCGGTTCACAAAACTAAAATGGCCAATATTTTCCAGCAAAAACACCTAGTGCAGAACGAAATGAGTTTTGTTGAATGCAACACAAAGCTACCTTGCAGCTATGGTAATAGGAAGGAATGTAGTGCGATGAAACTATTCCTGGCCACTACATGTTCCATTAGGCACTGCTTGGAGAGAAATGCGAATACTCGAACCCCGACTGTGCAGGAAAAAAGAATACGAGCGTTCCAACCTTACAACGACACTCTCGCGCTTATGTAGTTCAGGCTAGGTATTCCAGTTAGAGTTGAAGTTGACCAGCTCATTGAATTAAAGGCGATCTTTGAAACGCAATCGGTAGCAAGCTCTCGACAATGCAGTGGTCACACCGAGCGATTCAGGCAGCGGCCTATCGTCGTATTCGGCCGATTTTCAAAGCGGGATTATTCCATTCAGAATTAACATTTCAAAAAACCCCTAAGCAGAATTGGACGCGACTGCCTCTTTGCAAGAACCTTCGATGTTTTTTCAAAGGCTTCGCAGTCCCACTATTATAAAGGGGTAAATTGGACCCCCGACAAGTGAGCATTCCTTACATTCAGGAACCACATCTTCCTTCATATGCAACCAAGAGACGCGTAGAGATCGACAAACCCTACGTCTGGATCCTGTTCCTACAACCATTCTTTGAACTTATAATGAAAGTAACTCTTCCAAGTGTAATCTGTAAAACGTCGACACGAAAAAACTGGAAGTTGTGAGCTTGTAGTGAGCCCGAACATACCCTCAGAGCTTATTTTTCACAAGATTCGACCGTCCAGATATTTTAGGGAGTTTTGTCGGTCGATTTTTGAAAATCGTGAGCTTCTGAGCTTCTGTCGAACGTAACTCTCTTCTGAGTGAAATTTGGGAGGCTGTTGGACATGAAAAAAGCTGGAGACAGTGAGCTTTCCGACGAGTTCCCACATTTAAAGTTTATTTTCACCAAAACTCGCCCGTCTGGATCCTTTTTTCAGAGGTTTCTGAGTGTTTTTCTGGAACGAGCGAGTTTTCGAGATTTCAACGATCATAGTAGCTTTTTCCACAATGACTAATTGGTGAAAGGAAAGGCTTTGCCGTGACCTGAGAGGTGTATACTTTCTAGCAGAAGTAGGAGGTGTTTTGCAGAACCACTCGCTTGAAAATTTTCCCTTTCTGAATCTTTATCCTGAGTCCTGGAAAGCCAATCTACCATATCCTATTCTTTGCTCGTTATGGGTCGGAATGCGGGCCATTCCGAGATTTGTTGGGTTTTGTTGGAGTTGAAACAAACTCCTATTTTTCCGTTTACAACTCCCTTCACAATGAATATCGATACCACTACCATTTCAACCGCTAGACCTATGCAACTTACGACCCACCGTACTTGAGCTGAAACACACAACTCCGCCGTTCTTAAATGATCGACAGACTCTTGACCCTGACTCAGGCAAGCCAGAAACTTAATTACCTCACAACTCGGCTGATATCTGATTGTTTTCTTCGCTAGTGATCCATTATTAACAGCTTTTCGTGGGATCATCCAATGATCATCTTTTTCACTATCGTCAACTTGTCAAATGATCAGACCACTCTTTCACTGTGGTTACGGATTAGGAAAACCAAAACATGCAGCAAAAGTTAATTTTTACCAGTGCTCCCGCGTTTGCACTTTTTGCAGTTTGTCTCGTCATCTTCCGTGTCACAGTCAACAATTCCGTCACAAACTGACGTTGGCGGAAGACAGAGAGACGTCGCTGGGCACTTCAGCTCGTCGTCATCGCATTCATCCTCTATAAGTCCCAGTTACAGATCTCCGACATCAACTCTGATTACTATTAAAGATTACTGCAGTGTTTGTGTTCATCGTATTCGTCCGGGCAATGAGTGATTCCATCGCAAAGCTGCTCGGCCCGCAAGCACACTTTGACTTTGGATTTGGTCGACACCGAGCACGAAAACGCAGACTGACACTCTGGAAAACGGCTGGAAATTCCTGTAGCAAGTAGCTAAAGTGTGCCGATAGCCACAATCTCAACCTCTGCAGTTCAGCTCATCCGAACCATCCGGACAGTCGCTTTTTCCGTCGCAGCGTAGCGCAGTGCTGATCACCATGCTCTAAAAGCAGGGTCAACCGTCACGTTCGAACATTTTCGGGATTTTTGCGACCCCCAATACAACCAGCCTTCCCCCACCGCGACCTCTCCCTCTTCTATAGTATTTGATTCTGAGACCAGTTGACACAGCCCAAAACCTACCTAAAACTCCGAAACTCCACCCACTTTTTCCCCAAAAATAGCCGTCGAGCGGGAGGGGGGAGTAATCCTAGAACCACTGAAAGCGGTCAACTTTTTCCACGCGCTCTGATGCGTGAACTTTAGACGTAAGCAAACCAGCCCTTTTGGCGCTTCGGCTGGGACCGTATGCTGAATGTTGGGGAGGGGATGGAGTCCCCGACGGTGGACGGACCACTTCAACTCGGTCCTTAGAACCGCCACAATTTGGTGCTTACCTCAGAACTAAGCCTTAAAGAGAGGACGGGTCCGTCCCCTCTCCAAGGCTTAGTCCTGGGGTGAGCAAACCAGCCCTTCTGGCGGAGCTGCTGGACCAGCTGCACCACTTGCGTCAGTACTCTCCTATCGTACCAACCGAGTTGAAGTAAACCGTCGACCGTTGGGGACCCCATCCCCTCCCCAACATTCAGCATACGGTCCCAGCCGAAACGCCAAAAGGGCTGGTTTGCTTACCTCTGCCCTGCGCCCCTGATGACCAAACGTAACCAGCAGAACTGCGCAATGCGACCCCTCTCCCCTCCCAGAACACAAATGCGACCCCCCGTTCGAACAGTTCGAACGGACGGTTGACCTGTCTAAAAGCCGAAGTAACGTCATGACTTCTAACTAGATTTTCTGCTCACTTAGCGACGTCAACTGCTTCTTCTGCCTACAGAGACCAAAAATATGAATGATGACATCGATCAGTAGAATCATAATCGTTGTCATCAAAGACCTATTAGTACAAAAGTCATCGAAAAAATCGATATAGCGTTTTACTTTTGATTTGATGATATCTGATGCGACATGTGTCGCAAGATGTGAACTTAAGTAACCCGGACGCGGAAAACATGATCTACCTAGAACTTTCAGCTGATTCTCAAATACTTGAAAATTTGAAAGCAAGCTCTCATTTTAAATGACAGAGTGCATTGAGCATGAAGGCAAAAGGAATCCACGTTTTTGAGGATTTCGAATATTAGAAGATGGAGCTTAGCACAGGAAATGAGCTTATCAGAAACAGATGAAAGCACGGAAGTTAGGACCTCGATCGCTAAAAAGTGGCTGAAAAAGGAGCCAATCCATGGCTAAAGTTCCGGTACTACTCCGAAATCCGGGTGAGTGAACAAACGACGGGTTTTAGTCTAGACCGCTGCACTCACTGGTTGAATAGTGCAGGCAAAGCCAAAGCCTTCGCACAGTGAAACATTCGGAGGGAAGAGCGCTGTGGAAGGAATCCCATGCACGATGCTGACGCCGTCACGGCGTAACCCATCCAAAATATCGTCCTCATCATCCAGTGGGTCTGGTTTTGGGAATAGATGTGTGTCTCGGATAATCTGAAACAGTAATACGATATCAGAGAAAAATGTGCTGAATATGTCATACCTGCATATCTACTCCATCAGAGACTTGCCGCTGGCTTTCGCTATCAACAGCGCTCGTCAAAATCACAACTGCTGGAATGAGGGCCAGAAGGAGTGCGACGATGATACATATTGCGATCACGATCACAACTACGGGTAACTGCAATACAGTCGCAAAATTAGTCCAAGATGACTGCATGTGAAACCAAAGAACTCGAGATAGAGGGCAGAAGATCACTCAGCAGAAGGTTGGCCAAATAAAAACTCAGATCAATTCAGACGAGCAGGAGCCAGCCAGCACACCCTCTTTGGGTTGCTCTCAACTGGCTCAACATTGGCATCTGTAAGCTCCCTTCCAGCGAGTGACCAGTGGTCATTCTAGCTTTCTGATAATAATCTTAAAGCTCCTTAGCTGTGAGAATGCTTCGCAAATTCAGTTCGATAACTGCCAACCCACTGCACACACAAGGACGGAGTAAGCCAGCTCCAGCACACGTTTATAGCCTGTGCTCTTACATAATAATAGTGGAGCCGTAAATCCACTCGATGGGTAGAAAAAAGGAAGGAACCAGTAAGCCGCCAAGCCATCAGCCATTCTTCCCTACTTTTCTCAGAGAATTTACAAGGTATAGGATTTTTCTAGAAAACCTATGAAAAATCCTGTGAGTATAAGCTAAACATGGTGAAGAAGATACATGCTTTGATAAGAACCCCTGGACTTTCTCGTATATTGACTCCATTAGGGGCGAAAGTGGTGTAGTGCAAGTGGCACGCTTTACACGCAGTGATCCGGGGATCAAATCATGGGTCGTTGAGTCGCCCATGCCAACCAAGCCTTCCATCCCTCCGGGGTCGGTTAAATTGGTACCAGACTTGTCTGGGAGGATAAAAACACTGACTTGTACATCGGCTGGCCCCCGCAAGTCATTGTATAGGCCACATCGCATTCAAACGCCACTACGAATGTACAAATGGGAAGTAGGATGCGTGTCGCATCCCAAAGGGATTGATTAACGGCAAATGCTTTATCTTTTGCCTTTATGACCTCCATTGATCAAAAGGACTAAAACGACCCCTTTGATCCCCCCAAGACCCTCTCCTCATGCATTTTCGCTGTGTGGTTCGATGCACCTGAAATGTTTACAATGCAGCTTCAGGCGAACCGAGGAAAGAGCAAAATTTGCCAGCACGACGATTCCCACTGTGGTTTAACAAACTCGGTCTATCAAGACAGTCATTCTCCCACCCCACGGTAGGGGAATGGGGGCATAATGGACTAGTTCGGGCTGTCTGAGCAGTCCTGCTCTTATAAGGTGCAAACTGGACTGGTTGGAATAGTTTTGTGAGCGAAAAAAAAAGAAAAATGAGAATTTCGTCATGATTTTGAATGCTTGTGTGCTCTGTACCGAGATGCTCATCAGCCACTTTTTTCACTTTAACTATTAATCAACTTCGAGGAAAAAGGAAAACAAAAAAATTTTTATGGAAGGAATACACCAACGGTTCATTCGGCTCTATACAAGTGGGGTGGGCACGCCCAGCTTTTCACGCATGTCAAGTGACTGCCCTCACCCCCCACCCCCTAGATTGGCTACACTCCCCCTGGCTCACGAATTCCCCGATTCTCGTGACAGTAGCGGGCAGCAGTCCCACTTACATACATTTCTGTTCAAAAAATGCGGCGTGCCCACCCTACTTGTATAGCACCGTTCATTGAATACAGTGTCACCATTGGAGAATGAAGCTTTCGATTCTCACGCTATGCTCTGCACCCTATAACAGGAGCGCAGGTTACGGTTTAACTGGCGCTATACAGAAGAAGGGAAGGCGAAGGGAGGCGATGGGTGGGCTGGTGTGTCGTGGCTAAGTGATATGCTATCAATCAATGCTCTCAGCGGTATAGATGGACTTCACATAGAACCCAAATTTTCGTAGAATATATTATGATTTTAAAAATGGAATATCCTTGAAGACTCACCTTCAAGAAACACGAGCAACATGTTCGACCGATGTAGTCACGAAACCGTTCCAATCCTGTTTTGGGAAGTGAATCATTGGCACTAGAAACATCGATTGACTTCAAATTTGATAGCACCTAGTCAATGAACCCAGCAAAACCCTACGTTAAGTCAAATTTCACAAAGTGCCCACGTACCCTTCCGCGTGTTGTTGTGGAGCACTCCTTGGTGTGTACATGTTATCCTGGTTCGGCATACTGGTTAGTGGTGGTCGGCCTTGCTAAAAGTGAAATAAATAAGTGAGAAAAATTAGAAAGAGTGATTGTAAAAAAAATCAAAGGTGAAATCCACAACCCACATTACTTTCAAGCGAATACTGAGCGGCACTACAATCTAGTGTAGGGTCAACGGGCAAGGACATACAATTTCAACCAACCTCGAGGCTAGTTTAATACCAAGCCGCCTCTGAAGATGGCTGATTGATCCGATTGTAATTTTGGAAAAACAACTAACACCAAAAAGGAAAAAATTCAATAAAAACAGAAAATAATTTAGGCCACCGTCAGCAGTCGGCGAACCTTTGCAATGCCTCTTTAGCACGAAAAAATGCGCCAATGTAGATCAAATCGACCCAATCAAATGCTCAGATCAATTTCGACCTCCACGACGATATTAAATTTAGTTAATTTTTACCAAATTCAACCTTTTAAATTTTTCAGTAGTGTCGGTATCTGCTGCCATCTATTTGCCTTTAGTTATCATTTTTATTTATTAGTTATGATTTGTTTCATAGCCTTTCATAGCTCACTTTACTGTCTTCATCCTGAATCCAGTGGCATGCTGAAACTATTGATAGGTCTCGAAATCGGAGGAATAAGAGCTTCTGATGTTCCTAAAAAATCACCTTAAATTTGCCCTGATGTGTGAATGGGTGAATAATCTTCGAACTTTTCTACGAAGACTTGTGGAATAAAAGATTGCTTTTGTGAACTGAACTGTTCTTAGTTCATGAACGATTGGAACGATTGGTGATTGGCGAATTAGGGAAGATGGTGGCTTGAAAGCACCTTCCACGTCTTAAGCGGAGTTTATTGTGTTCAAAAATGGAAGCAGTTGAGGTGATTGGTTCATACGCAGTGGAAGAACGAAAAAAAACCCTTGAAATCAATGATGGCGGACCGTGGTGGGGTATGCGGCTCGGCCTCGGAAATCCTCATTGGTTGCTCAGCTCTTTACCCCCGAGTACTTGCATGCCAGAGGAACGTCCAACCAAGAGAACTACTGTAGGCGCGGGTTCAAACCCCGCCCAATAGCAATCGACCTTCCTGTAGCTCCAAGCGTCCTCTTTGGCTATTCATTAATTTACGCAAAACACTTTTCCTGAAGCGAACCTGCAACAGACTCATTTAACCCATAACGGACGGCCAGTGTATTCGCGTGCGCCACCTTGTGGCGCACGCCGCCACCCAGGGTAGGGTTTATGTAGGCTTATGCGAACAGCAGGGTTAAGACGGGGCTAAAGTAGGTGTCCGTGTCTCATCATCCAAAAGAAGAGATTTCCGTTGACGACAAGTTCGTAACCCGCCTTTCCGCTCTAAAACTAGGGTGCAAAGAATGAATGGAAGCTGTAGGTGACATTATCGAAAAATGCGAAACAACAACCCCGAGCAAGGATGTGGCTATATTTAGGGGAAGGGGTCTCGGGACGTGCGAACCATGGGTAAGCCACCCATCAAATAGTAAAACTTATGTAAATTAAGACAGAATGTATGTAAAATTTATTGTAGGTTTGTCAAAAATCCAGTCGTCCAGGTCCTGGGAAGATATGTTATTCCACATTGCTGAGTCCCGATCTACATGAAATCATCTGCCGTGCCGACGAGCTCGAGGGCATGCAGCAGTTGCTCCAGACTGGATTAGCTACCTATGTAGTTTCGCTAATCAAATCACTGTGAACCCCATGTCTAGAATCAGTAGCGTGAATGCGCCAAAAACGCCGGTTCATTCCAGACATAACCGGCCATTATGGGCCAAGACCGGTCGACGAATTCGTTGAGTCGTTGAATCCATTCTTGCATGATGTACCCGCGGAAGATTCTTATGATGTCGTTCGTGCGGAAGGCTACGCGGAGTTGTTTAATAGATCAAAATATAATTTTCAAATCAGTTGGAACTGCTCGGTCTGAGTTCGGTAGTGTGCTCACTCAGTTCAGTTTCAAATGTGAAGGTAGAGGGTCTTTTGGACTTTTTTGTGCTTGCTGTGACAGGCCTCTCCGTATTGTTAGATACTCTCACACTACAGTTCCCGATAAATTGAATCCAGATGAAGGGAGAATAATTCTGTCTTTGCATCTCCCACTCAGCCGTTTCGTTTTCTAAGAATTTTGAGGAATTTGTAGATAATCAGTGAAGGGAGGGGAGCCCGGCACGGGGCAGACAGGGTCGGATCGTCACATTGCCGCTTCTCCAGACCCTCTTCAATTATCTTCATCCATTTACCTATATCTCTTCCTTGGTGTAGTTTAATCTAATACTCAAACGGTACACCATGATCTCTAAAAAGTCGGTCGATGCGGCTAGGTAAGTATAATGGCTGAAACGGAAAAAACGAGTAATTTCTGAAGTATTTTCACAGGAAAACCTGCAGCAAACCTCCCGCAACTCGTTGAACATTGTCCGACGGACGATCTCGATCTTCAGTGCCAGTGCGGTAGTTTAACTTCGTTTAAGTTTAATTCAATCAGATAATCGTTCAGTTGTCCTGCCTGAAGGCTGAGCTACAGCTAGATCAAGAACTTTCATATTTGAAAACGAGCACAAAAGAAAAAAGAATCTCGAGTACGCCCGAGCAAGGACGTCCTCTCTTTCAGCCGCACCCGACTTTGAGATGTAAAGAAGGGACGGGGGTGTCCGCACGAGTTTCACGAACGCCTAGCTTTAGTTGCTTTCATGCCAGTGACATTGGGCCGCAATGCTGACGCTGTCGCAACCGCGACTGCGCCGCGCTTTTCTCGCAGCGCCATTGCAGTGGTGCACGACATCAACGCTTGTCCGCCTGTATACCACTAATAGGGGTGTAACAGGTAAGCATACCAAATCCCGGACCCTGCCTTTGAAAAAGAGAAAAAATTGAATGAAATGGAAAGGAAACGCAATCTTCGAATGAATGTAGATTCACAAAATAGCAGGAATATTTTGATTGCCAAGTTCCGTTTTTTCGACGGTCCTCTGAGCAGGGTGAATAGTGGTCGCATGTTCACACGCTCTGCGACGGTACCTCCTCTATCTATCCCACTCGCTCGCCCTTAATACCT